GGAGGAAGGAGGGAATCCTGGCCCAGCCGAGCCTTGTCCAGGGGGCGCAGGGAGCCTCCAAGGACAGTGACATCACGGGCAAGCCCTCAAAACAGAGCAGGGGGAGGAGCAAAACCTCTGCTCTCTCACCCCAAAGACCAGCTCCCTGAGTGAGGAGATGGCTGGTCTTGTCCTGCCTGATTCTGCCAGGGGCACCTGGCTCCTCTGCTGTGTGGCCCTCTGTCTTTCGGGGACAGGTGAGTCTCGAGCTCGGGTGGGACGTCCCTTGATCGCAAAGTTCCCGACTGTTGCTGGCGTGCGCATCTCCTTCCCATGCTCGTCTCTAGCTTCTGTCTCCTCTTCCACAGGTTCGGCAGATGTCGGAGTCACCCAGTCCCCAAGACATCTAATCAAAGGCCAAGGCGGGGAGGCCGTTCTCAAATGCCGTCCCATCTCTGGACACAGTGGCGTGAGCTGGTACCAGCAGGCTCGGGGGCAGGGCCCCCAGTTCCTCATCCAGTATGACGAAATGTCCGAGAGGGACAGAGGAAACATCCCCGATCGCTTCTCAGCTCAACAGTTCCGTGACTACAGCTCCGAGCTGAACGTGAGCTCCCTGCAGCGGGCGGACTCGGCCCTGGACCTCTGTGCCAGCAGCTGAGACACAGCCCTGCGGGGCTCATGGCTTTCTGTACTCAAACCTTCCTGTCGTGGCTGAGGGTGGCAGAGGAACAGGGAGGAGGCCTTAGCCGAGTTCTAGCGCTTTCCTCACACTCTCTCTGCCCTGCCCAGCCCAGCCAGAGCATCCCTGGAAGTTCTCAGTGTACTGCCAGCACCTTCCGACCCCAGGCACGTGGCAGGAGCTCCTGATCTAAGCTGGGACGTAGGCGAACATGATGTGCCTTCACGCAAGCTCCATGTGAGTGCGTCCGATTCGCAGACAGGGGAGAGCTTGGTGTGCCGTTTTATAGGTAGGATGCTGGAGCTCCTGGAAGTTCCAGATATGTCACATATGTCAAACCTGCTTCCCCATGGCTCCGAAATCAACATTCCCCTAAATTCCATGGTGCTTCCCAGGTCTTGGTCCATAAGATACAACAGAGCACTATCTGTCCAGACTACGGAGGACACGGCCAAGGAACAGCCCTCTAGGAATTTCAACAGCTCTGGGAACTAATGCAGGGAATCAGCCCTCCTGAGCCGCCGGAAGCCATGGGGGAGGCAGCGACTCTGACAGCTGCAGCCCGCCCTCAGCCCATGGCTTTCCCTCAGCACATCTGAAGTCGCCGCCTCTGCCCAGGTCCAAAACTGCAGGCAACATCCACGCATCACAGCTGCTCAGTGTGTGGTGTGGCCACACATTCACAGACTGCAGGTGCAAGTGTATTCGGGACCGCAGACAGCCTACACACGAGGACTCCTGTCACGACGCATAGAGGGATGTCCTTACCGAAAGGCGGGGCAGAGCACGCATCCTTATGAGACGTCTTTAAAACACAGGCTGACAACTTCTTCCCGTTCTGAGCTGTTTGACGTTATTTAGGTGCCTGACTTGCTCCTGTGAGGAAGGGCTGTGGTGGTTTGGCTCTGCGGCTCTAGCATTTGTCCAGGACGGTGACATCACTGAGTCACTGAGAGCACACGTTCTCTTTTCTCAAAACAGCCCTGGAAGACATGAGATGGTGCCCTGGACCTGACATGGCCACCAGGCTCTTCTGTGCGGCTCTTTGCCTCTTGCGGGCAGGTGAGTTCAGGTGGGCTCTCCTTCCTGGAATCCCCAAGACCTCGGTATAAGCCTTCTTATTAGGATGACATCGGACTCTGTCGCTCTCTACTACAGGACACACAGATGCTGGAATCACCCAGAGCCCAAGATACAAGGTCACAGGGACAGAAAAGAAGGTGACTCTGAGATGTCAGCAGACTGAGAACCATGACTATATGTACTGGTATCGACAAGATCTGGGCCATGGGCTGACACTAATCTATTACTCATATGGCACTGGCAACATTGGACAAGGAGACGTCCCTGATGGGTACAACGTCTCCAGATCAGACATAGAGAGCTTCCCACTCACGCTGGAGTCGGCGACCCCCTCCCAGACATCTGTGTACTTCTGTGCCAGCAGAGAAGCCACAGTACTGCACGGCCGCCTCCTGCCTGCACAAAAAGCGGCGTTAGGAAGACTGAGGTTGCCCCTCTCTCCCGAGGCCTGACCTTGACCCCAGGACGCCCCTGCAGCAGGGGCGTCACTGCAGCGAGCAGCGTGGTGTGAGGACGGAAGTCCATCTCCACGCCGGTTCTCTCCTCTGCAGCTCCCTCTTTCTGTTCACAGAAAATGCACCTTCCACTGAGAGAGATGAAGACTCCCTCGATCAGCTCTAAGCTGCCACATTCTCTCTCCGCCGGGGTCCTCAGTGACTGCCCCATCTGCCCTCTGCCCCTCCCTCTACCCTTGACCACCCTTCAGCTCACAAGTCACAGACCTCCCATCAGATGACCCCTGGCCCTGGCTGCCTTTCCTGTACGGGGCCACAGCTCTACAGCATCTTATCCTGTTCCGCCCTGCACCTGTATCTCTCCATCATCTTCCCCGAGTCTCCCTCCGCTCCCTCTGCCCCAGCCGCGCTCATCTGCACTCAGTGACTCCTCATGTGTGCCACGTTCCTTTCCAACCAGGGACCTTTTTTATAAGCTATTTTTTCTGCATGAAACCCGTGTCCCTCCTTCTCATTTCTGGATCTCTGCTTCATTCCTTATGTGAAAATATATTTCGGGCATACTTACTCTTATTTGTGAAAAATGAAACTTACATTCTACTAGGAGAAATGAAGAAAAAATATTTTTAGGCAATCATTTTAGCAGAGATGCAAAAGAACGCCAAAATATTTATAGAAAATGTAAATACTTAGAAAAGTGATGTCATAAATATATTTGTGAAAAATATTTTAATTTCAGATGCCTTAAATTAAACTCTCGGACATCAAAACACACCACAAATTATGAAACGGTGAGTTAGAGACTGGGAAGAGGCGTGAATTGTGGAAATGGGGGATGAAGACTCAGTGTGACAGAGACTCGTCACACGCGCCAAGTCCCCAGGGATGCTTTATGAGTCCCAGCCTCGCCTGCAGGGGGCGCTGGGACCCTATGACCAGGTTCTGAATGATGGGATATGACTAAAAATTTTGCAAGCCAATTAGAAAAACTCACCCTTAAAAATATCCTCTCGCACGGTGTTGGGGGTCCCCAGGACACCTCTGTTTGGAGATTTGCTAGAAGGACTCACAGGATATGGCATATAGTTGGAGTGGTGGCTAAGATTTGTTAGTGACACAGTAAATGGCACGGTGGCCCATCATAAGGGCATGCGACACAGGCGGAGTCTGGAGGAATTCACGTGTGGGCTCCCTTATGTTTTCTTCCCCGTAGGAGGGTCATAGAGCTCACGCCTCCCCCAGCCACAAAAACTCAGCAACACGAGTGTGATGTTTCTGCCCAGGGGCCCAGTGAGGGACCCAGTGCCCAAGTTTTTACTGGGAGCTGGTCACGTAGGCCCCCACTGCCCACCACGGACAAAAAAGCTGGACTCCGGGAAGGAAGTCTGGCATTCGGCATCCACGAACTGTCTGGCTGTAACAATGAGCCACCTTCTCAGGCAGGAAGTTGACAGCAGCGTAGACATCTGGTCGCCAGCCAGGTTCCCAGATGCCAGTCCTGGCCAGTCTAGCGAGTCGGGCTCTCTCTAAGCTCGGCGGTCTTAGGGCTGCTGTGTGAACTCGCTTCTGCGCACGGACCCCTCGACTCTCTCTTCCACACCCTGGTGAACTTGGAGGCGTCCGTCCTGATTGCCTCATTGTAATATGGAAGTTGCCTGGCTCGCGGGATCATAGTTCGTTGGACGACCACTGAACAAAGCTGTTCGTGCCACACTGTGTGTTTTGGTCACGGAAAGTAAAAGTTTATAGAGTTAACCCACTGAGATTTTAGGATTTGTTTGGTTTTGCTTTTGGCAACAGAGCTGATCTTATCTAATCGAATTAGTATAGAGAATACATATACTAATAAGTAATTCTCATTCCTTATTAAGAAAAAAACAACCACCCAATAAAAATGGCCATACTTAATCTAGGTAATTCACAGAGTGGTAAACATAAATTACCAGTAAACATGCGACTGATTCTCAACCTTCCTGAGAATCAACATATTCAGTTACAAACTGAAACGGTAAGTTACGACCTCAGACTTATCACACCTGAAAATATTCCAAGGGTGACGGTCAGAAATATAAGATATGGACTAGAACCACCGACCCTACAGAAGGGCATCAGAGCTCTGTCACAAAACTGTCCGTGGCACACGCTGTGACCAAAAGCACTGCTGGATGAGTTATCGATGTACCCCAATCACTTCATTTCCTTTGGATTCTATCATGCAGAATTCAGTTGATACCTACAAAAAAACAAACATACAAACAAACAAACAAAAAACAAAAAAAAAACAGTTGGCTGGCGTGGACTCTAAAACATTAAGGTCATGAGGAATAGAAAGGATGAAAAGATGAAGATGTGTATTTTAAACGCGAGTAAAGAGATACGCCATCAAAATAAAATACATTATCTTTGATTTTATCCTGGGGGTGGAAAAAAACCCAAAATCTATAAAGGACAATTTTGAGACAACGGGAGAAAGTTGAATGTGAAATGTATATTAGATAGTAATATTACATGATGTTCATTTTTTAGTAATCACGGCAATTCTGGTTATTAGGAGAATGCCCTTTCTTTTATCGGAGAGACCTATTCAATCGTTAAGGATAAAATGTTTCAGAAGTTAAGGCGAAATATACAGCGAGCGATAAAGCCAACATTACAGAAAGTTAACATGTGGTGTGCGGACTGAGTGGACAACCTTCTGAGCCTCCGTGGCTCGGGACAGAGAGCCGGGATCCTGCCCGAATCCTGAGAGACCCCACAAATGGGAAACGATGGCCGTGGGAGCCCGTCAGAGCTACTTTAGGTAGGAACCTGTACCCCCAACCTGATCCATCTGCTTCTGCACCCTAGATGCTCAGAGGCTGATTCCAGGCGCATGTAGGGGAGGGGAGTAGATGATTCTAGGCCTCGTCTAGGCCTGTCTCAAGTTGCTGCTGTCATGCCGCAAATATCCATAACAAGACTCAGATTTCCCAGAATTCCAGCCTTCCCTCCCCTGAGCAGCGAGATGCCCCACTCCTGCCCAGACACAGACCTTGTCACGGATTTCTTCAGTGGAGCTGCCCAGGGAAGGAGGAAGGCATGGGGACACCTGGGGAATTGCTCGCCTGGAACTGGCAGGCTCGATTTCAAATATTCTGTGTGACGCCTGGTAGGACCCGTCTTCAACACTCAGTCACCACCCACTCTGATGCTGTTGTCACTCAGGATCTTAACTCCTGGGCCCAAGGACAGAACAGCACCTAACATGCCACGGAAACAAATGTTCCGTCATGGAACTATTACCCGGGGCCAGTGTAAGTTCGACTCAGACCAGCAGCGGTTCCACCCCCACGGGGAGCATTTATCAGGGACACAGACCGTTCAGGTAAGTCCGCCCTGCCGGCCTTCACTCCATAACCTGGAGGTACAGGCCTCGGGTTTTGAAACGTAATGGAACCCGTTCCACCCTGGAGATCCAGCCCGCAGAGCTGGGGGACTCGGCTCTCTCTCTGTGCCACAGTGAGGCCCAGCCAGTTCCCTCCAGGGTCCAAACCCGCTGGCTTCTGTCCTCCCCAAACTCCAGGAGACCTTTGAAAAGCACCCCCCCCTCTTGTCTTCCTGCCTCAGAAGAAAGAACCAGGTTTTTCTCGCGTCTCCAGCCGCTGGCAGGAGAGACCAAGACTGTACACTGTCCCTTCCACGATCGCGATGGGCATGCTTCGAGGTTTCTGAAATTCCTACAAATAATGCAGAATCAGGCAGTCAATGGTGTCCAAGTTTATAAATACAGCTCCCTCTCCCCCACTCCCCAAAAATTTCAGGGACGGAGACCAGATATGTGAGGTTGATGTTACGTTACCAAAACACTAAGAAATTGCTACCAATTTTGCCTCCAACACAACTCCCCCGCAAACTCTTCCCCCATCAGTGTTCCCTGATAGGCGAGTTCTTTCTGAAACAGCAAAATGGTGCCCGCCACAGGTTCATCAGAGTCCTCTTCCCACACATGCGTCCCCCGCATAAGACTGACCGTCCCACGAGGGCAGTGATTAAACAGGATACACTAGTGGCCCCCACGGATCGCAACGATCACCTGGAAATGAGTGAGCACCGGTGTCTGTGCCGATAACCCAGATCCAGGGAGCTTGGGGTTGGACGAGACATTACAGATCATTCCCTTATGCTTCAACACTGCGGCCACGCACTTAAAATGTGGCTGTGTCCAAGAAAATGGTACATCCTTCCCGCAATGTCCCTCGCAGCCACCAGATGGCAGTCAAGGACAGCGTCAGAGAGCCCAGGGTGTAAGGCCGTCAAAGACTTTGGTACACCATGCCTGGCACACCTGGTTCAGGCCTGTCGTCCTGGCGTAATTATTATTAATAGCACCGCTTTTCACATATTAAAGGGGCCCAGTTTGGACAATAATCTATGCAGCCATTTCAGGTCATGACACAAACTGTGCATAGCATCTCTGTTAAAAGTCATTGTTTATTACATTCAGTTCAAGGAAATTGTATTCAGACATTTGTGAAAACGATAAGGCAGACTTTATTCAGGGACATGTACAGCAATGGGGTTTTGCAATAGGGGCATTAGATTGGGCTCAGCTCCGAATACAACAAGGAAACGGGAATTTGTAGCCATGGATGGGGAGGGACAGGGCTCGGGGGGTGGAGAACTAGTCAGAGGAAACAGCCGGGCGAGGAGGGATTCTGGCTCATCTGAGCTGGGAAGATCTTTGCCGAAGGCACGCCAGGGAGACCCTGCGGATGCTGGGGGCGAGGGATGCCCACAGACCAGGGTACTCAGATACTGAGGGTGAGGGGTCTGGCTAGCTGACTTAGCGGGATTCTTGCTAACACTGCGGCTCTTGAGGACTCCCCGGGAAAGAGGCCGAGTTGAAAGAGAAAAGACTCAATTCTTGAGATATAACATGAACAGAATATGAACATTTACCTGTCATAAAGGTGAGGGATATTAAATGGATGAAGGCAACCCCAAGATGTCAAGAATAACCAGACAGTCATCCAAGAGATTATTCAGCAGAGATATTCAGTTCACGTCGTTTTGGAACTGGAGCACATT